AAAATGTTCCTTGGGAAGGGAACAAAAGAATTCCTGGTGCCCAAATCCTAGGAAGGGAGAAAAACTCCTTAGAGAACCAAAAATTCCCAAAGATGGATCATACAGAGAGACTCAGTTTGTTCTGGGCAAAGCATGGGTACACAAAATACGTGAGAAAAAATTGAATCAATTTGATATATTATTTTAAGAAATCTAGTCATCATCTTGGGACTAGTGAATTTAATTTAAAATTAGATTACTTTTATTTTTAATTGCCTATTCAGGAGAGAGAAATAGGCACCATATTGCTTTCAGCATTCATGACTTCTGGAAATCTTTGGCAATCCTTGAGAAGTCTAAGCCTTCCCACTCCTCTAAAAAGCAAGAAATAAAGCTTTTGTCTTCTGTAAATAGCCTGGCTCTCACAGAAACATTAAAGCAGCGGCCCTGGCAAACACTCAGTGTGGGGCCTTCTAACTTAGCATCCTGAGGTTGGTCTTTACCAAGAGCATAACCATGAAAAGGGGCCACGACTCAGCCAGTTGGCCCCCTGTGTTCAGAAGCATTCGTGACTCTTCAGCAGGTTTCAATAGGGAAAATGCAAATAGCTGAGCTTTCTATTGTTACTTTTCACAGTTGCAAAGTCAAAGCTTCTCCAAAATTCCTAGTGGTCATGGTACACCCAGCACAGACCCTTACGTCTTGGTTCTTATAAAATGGTCCCAGCATAGTGGAGGGAGAGACACTGGAGTCAAGGAGATCCAGCATGCAGTTTCTTTAATGCCTTAACATTTTTAAAATAAAAGTTTGAATTACACAAACTTGCAATCAGAACTAATGACACAGTCACTCCAAACCTAACATCAAAGATGTTTTGTGAGTCATACTGGCTCTAAAAAGCCATCATAATCACTTCTTAGACACAACAATCAAATCCTTCCTTCATCTAACAATAATTTTTGCCTAGTAATAAGTCTAATTAATTGGAGCACTGTCATTTTTAAACATGGTTCGATGCAAGCGTTTTCCCAAAAGCTTTACCTGAGTCACTTTACAATTACGAAAACACAAAAAATTACCTCCTTAAATGGGAAAAGCAAATTGTATAGTCATGTATTTATTTCATATGTGTAAATGGGGAAAGCTACAGCTGTATTTACTTGAATATACATGGACATCTCTAACGGTAACTGACAACAATGGCTGATGGGGTGGCTTCTGTATATGACATCCATTTTCCCAGCAAGGGTGGTATGCCCCCGACATCTTCTCATGTTTGCAAAAGGGGAAACTGAAGCTCATTTAAGTAAAAATTCATGAGTTACAAGGCCAAAGGGAAAGGCTTTATGTGAACCTTGCAGGACTACATCATTTTCAGATCCACGAGTTGTCTGACTTAGCAGAAAATATCACCTGAACGCCACATCTTAGCCTAAAAACCCTGAGCTTCTGACTCATCTTTTTATATGGGCTTTCAGCTGGGTTTTAAACTTATATTCATTCATTCATTCATTGTCTTTTTTGAGACAGGGTTACACTATGCAGTTCAGATTGGCTTTGAACTCACTTTGTAGCCCAGGCTGATCTCTCAACAATCCTCCTGCTTCAGCCTCATGCCCAGCCTACAGCTGGTTCTTATGGCCTTGAACAAACTACTTTACAGAGGCAGTGAGTGGGATGTGAGACTCCTCCACCCCAGCCAGTGATCACTGTCCATGACACTTGGGTAAGAGCATCTATGTAAAAAGGATTTAAGATTAAGTGTCACTATTCCTGTCTTCTCTTCCTGGATCAGAAAAGCACCATTTATTTATCCCTGGGCCTGCCTTCTGCTTGGCCTTTATTTTTCTTTTAATTTCAGCACTCATCCCAAAAGCTTTCCATCAAGACCATGAATGTTATGAAGACACTTGTTCAGAGTAAAGACACTCGAGCTGGGCAAGGTGGCACACACCTGTAATCCCAGCACTCAGGAGGCTGAGGCAGGAGGATTACTTCCAAGTGTGAGGCCAGCCTGAAGTGAACTAAGACCCTGTTTCAAAACCAAACCAAACCACACCAAACCATGCCACACACCACATTACACCACACATCACACCAAAAACTGAGTAAAGGCACCAAAATGATCACCATAAGGGAAAGTCCCTCTAGAATCTCTAGAAGGCCCCTAAAACTCCCAATCTAATGCCAAATAGAAACCCTACTGGAACAGCCTTTTAGTTTCAATTTCTTGCCATGAGAATCAAAATGACCAGGTAGACAGAGAGGGTAACTTGGGGAGGGCTCCTGGGAATTGGACAAGTGGTTTCATTTTATTACTCATATGCTTTCCAAATGATTTTTAAAAGCCTCTTTATCCTTTCCATTTGGAGTGGTGTGCAAAGAGAAGGCTCCAGGACAGGAGGGCCGATAGCCCATCCTATTCTGCACTTTCCAGTCAGAGCAGAAAGGCCTGAGACTGTTTCTTTCTGGCATAGTAGCCAGAGGCTTTATCTAGATGGAGGTTGGGGCACCATGGTCCAGCCATAATCCTTTCCCGGCAGCCTGGCTGAAGTGGCAGTGGGACCAAAGCAACTGATTAAATGCAGAAATAAAAACATAGAGAAAAATGGGATAGAAACAAATTAGTTTTAAACCACAAGGTTCTGTAAGCAAATGAAATACAGTGGGGGAAGGGAAGCAGCCTTAGAGATTTCCCTGAAACAAAGGGATTATGGATTGTCCAATATGAGGAAATCTTTCTCTTCTGACAGCCTTTTTTTACTCAGTGCAGTTTATTAAACACTTCATACACATTCAAAAACAACGGGATATAGCCAACTTCCTAAAAAAAGGCCCCAAACTCTGCTAGCAGGGCTTCTGTCCAAGCAGTACAGGGCTGCAAGGCATAGCAGTCATCAGTGGAGCACAAGGCTCAACATGTCCTTCCATTTTTCAATTACTGTCCTCTCCCTAGTCTTCATGGATTCTCCTCTTTAGGTTATGGAATACTGTTAACAGCAAAAGAGAGGCTGGGAGAAAAAAACTGCTAACATCAGAATTCAATCAACAAAACAATCAAAAGTACTTGATAGGAGGGAGAGAACATAGGAAGTGCCATTGAAAAGAGGCCCTATTTCTGGTTTGTGACTTAAGCATCATAGAAAGACTACTGAGAAGGCGCTTGATAAGAAATCAAACAAACAAACAAACAAACAAACAAACACTAAAAACCAAAGCAACAGAGTTTAAAAACATGCTCATTCCAGTCAAAACAAGGCTATTTCTGGAAAGTTTGGTCAAGCTTTCTCAGGGTTGGCTGCCCATGGGCAGAAGCACATGCGTGTGATACTGCTAATAAGGATCAGTCTAGTTGGTGGCTTTTGGACACCTAATGTTTATGTTAAGAATGGTAGGAAAAGACCCAAAAGCTACAACTCTTGCTGCATAGGTCCTGCTTTACCTTGGTCTTAACCATCCAGCAAAAAAGTATAAAAACGAAATATAAGAAGTAAAGCCATGCTGTTATGTTGAGCTGTAGGGGACTCAGGTCAACAATTTCTGACATTGCCAGTGAAGCGGAAGATGCAATACTATTATGGACTGCTGGACTCTTTTAGTATGTTTGGCTGAGTTTACACACCTATAATATTCAAATAGCGGAACTTAACAACAAAAAGGGGATGCAGATGAATGTCCATTTTGTATCTGTGTATTCAAATGGCTAGGATCAATATACAGTTACATTCTCTTAATGAATAGAGGGATTTGTTCTAATGGTGTTTGTAAGTAGGATATCATGTCTGCATCTTGCACAGCAATTAACCACTAGGAAGAATGTATACAATGTATTACTTATTGAAACTGTCCTACCAGTTTGGTTTGAAACTGTCTCACTGCTATTTGTTTCTCAATAAATTTATGGGGAAAAAAAAAAAAAGAATGGTAGGAAACAACGGTACAAAACAGAATTATCAAACCTCATCCTGACCACTAGTCTGGCTATGGGAACTAGCCTCAATAGGGACTTAAGACCCCAATTCTTCTGTCCCCACAGCACTCCCTATATCTTTTAAAATTAAAGTTAGAAGCTTGTGTAACTGATGAAGAAAGACACTGGGAACTTCATTGAGGACCTTGAAAGGGATGTCCTTTGTGTGAAAGTCTGTTAGCTCTTCAAACTATAGGAAGAATTTGGCTTTGACATCTGGCCTTAAAGTGTCAAGTTGTACCTTGGGAAAATACTCTCATCTGAAAGGCCAAAATTCTATTACTCACCCTGAGCTGTAAGGACTAACACATTCACAATGGGGTCATAATTCATATGTATCACTGTTGAGCATGTTAAATCACCAATAACACATGCATGACTGTCCTATCAGGTGATTTATTATTAATTCTATTAGTGAAAAGACTGATAAAAATGATTAGATCCATTTGTACCACTAGTGATACAAGCTGCCCAAAGGTACAGTCATGCATATACCACTGATGGTTCAAACTGATGGGAATGTGTTAAATTATATGTTATGCTGGGGATATAGCTCAGTGGCTTAACTGCCTGACTAGCAAGCGCAACGTCCCAAGTTTGATCCCCAGTACTGCCCCCCCCCAAAAAAAAAAAAAAAAAGTATCTAAATTAGATGTTATATGAAAGGCTCCAGGCCTTGCAGGCTTCTTTATTATATATCAGGACCACACCAGATTTGCTTCTGGTTAGTCCTCACTGGTGTGCTCTGCAAGCCTTGATACTCCACAGTTACAGTTACAGAACTGACACCAGAATGTTACATAGAGGGCTGAGGTATAGCTTAGCATCTTCAAGGCTCTAGTTTCTATTCCTAGCATAACAACAACAACAAACTACCACAAAAGGAAAGAAAAATTTTAAAAAAGTGAGACAAGAAAAAAAATTCACTTAATATTATGAATGTTATTAATGTATTAAGTACATTAGCCATACTGAAGACAGATACAGTTAACTAGAAAGTAAAGGAAAATAAATCCAGAAGAAGGGTTGAAGATCTATAAAAAAACAAAAGACGCTTTTGTGGTTCTTAAGTGCGAGTGGATTTTCATGCCACTGTGTGAGCTGTGCCTCCCTCAAACCTTCTTTCTTACCATGTCAGCACATTACCTACCTAGTCTAGATGTGAAGAAAAGAAAAAAGAACATTTAAGAGATGTTAGAAACAGATGGTATAGGGGCTGGTGAGATGGCTCAGTGGTCTAAAGCACCTACTTAGAACAAGCTAAACTAAGCAAAGCACAGGAACCACGGTTCAATCCCCCAGCACCACATGCCAGCCAGCCCCACCCCCTGGTGGGCTGAACTGGCCACACACACACAATGAATGAATGAATAAATAAGTAATTAAAAAAACTTTAAAAAAAAAAAAAAGAAACAGATGGTACAATATAATCCCCAAATAGGGCAGAAATGATGAACCACATAGACCAGAAATTTCCATAACTAAAGTCTGTAGTTTAAAAAAGTATATTGAGAGCTAGAGGATAAGTTAAAATAAAACATGTGGATATTCAAAAAATGGCAAAATTTGACAATAATAAATGCAAATTAAAAACATTTAAACAATCAGAAAAAATGTTTGCCTAAAGAAGGCAAAATGATTAAAATGGCAATAGATTTTTCATCAGTAACAATATATACTATAAATATAACTAGATACTATCACTTGGGAGGGAGGACAAAGTGACAAAGGCATTAGGAAAAACTAAAAAGCTTACCACCCCCAGGTCTTTGCTCAAAGAACAACTAAGATTGAATCTTTAAGGGAAAATAAGCAAAAAACAAAAAAACAACAACAACAAAAAAGCAAATCAGTAAACATGAAAAAGTATGAGCAATCAAATGTTGACATTAAAATTGATAATAATCACTAATTTATGAAGTTGGTTAAAGTAATACCCAACAATATCACAGAAAATGAAGACTGGAGAAACTAGAGTTAACACACTCTTAAGAGTTTCTGTAACGTTTGAAAGGAGATTTACTTTATTTTATTTATTTATTTATTTATTTAAAATTTTATTTGTGTGTGTGTGTACGCGCGCGTGGCCAGCTCAGCCCACCAGGGGGCGGGGCAGGCTGGCATGTGGTGCTGGGGGACTGAACCGCGGTCCCTGTGCTTTGCTAAGCTTGTTCTAAGTATGTGCTTTAGACCACTGAGCCATCTCACCAGCCCAGGAGATTTACTTTAAATTCTACTTTAAACTTCAGCATCTCAATGAAGCATGTTAAAAATCCACTATTGAAACAGACTGTAGAATATAATACAAATATTTCAATAAATCACAATAAAAGAAAATTAATTTGAAAAATGGAATTAATACACACAGATACATAAAACAAAAGAAAAATTATATACATTTTCTACCCAATAAATAAAAGCACTCATTTCTGGGCTAGGGGCATAGCACTCATAGGACATGTGACAGGTGAAACAAAGGGTGATGGTTCATACCTATAATGAGGCAAGAGGATTTCAAGTTTAAGCCCAGGATGGGAAAATCAGTGAAAACTTATCTCAAAATTAAAAGAAATAAGAAAAAAGAAAAGAAAAATAAGCCAGGCATGGTGCATATCTGTAATCCCAGAATTTGGGAGCCTGAAGTAGAAGGATCATTGCGATCTGAGACCAGCTTGGGCTACAAAGTGAACTCAAGGCCAGCCTGAACTGTATAGTGAAACCCTATCTCAAAAAGACAAAAAAGGGTTGGTGAGATAGCTCAGCAGACTAAGCACCTGCTTAGGTAAGCACAGAGACCAGGGTTCAATCCCTGGCACCACATGCCATGCCAGCCCCGCCCCTAGGCATGCTGAGCCAGCTACTGAGACCAGGGGTGGTGGTATATGCCTGTAATCCCAGCACTGGGGAGGCTGAGAACAGGAGGATCAAATGAGTCTGAGCCGCATGTACAAAATACATACATATTAAAAAAAATTAAGAAAGGGACAAGAAGGAAGAAAGACAGGCAGGCAGGCAGGCAGGCAGGGCAGGGCAGGGCAGGGCAGGGCAGGGCAGAGCAGGGCAGGGCAGGGCTATGTAGCTCAGTACAAAGCTCTTCAGTTCAATTCTTAATAAATAATAAGAATAAAAAAGTCTAGATACCAAAAATTACTGTCATGCAAACCATAATCTTGATACAACACTTAACAAATAAGTACAGGAAAGGAAACAATGTATTTGGGAAACTAAAACCACATTACTAAATAATTCATGGATTTTAAAAAAAAAAAAATCTATGATTTAAAATATAGAACATTTAGGGGGCCAGGGAGATGGCTCAGTGGAATAAGCACTTGCCTGGCAAGCGCAAGGGCCTGAGTTCAATCCCGGTTCCCCCAAAA